ATTTGATCGCTCCCCTATATATATATATATATATATATATATATATATATAGGATCAGGTTCAGGGAAAATTGTAAAAGACTAAGAAACACCCTGTTAGTTTTCATCTGGATGATATATACAAATAGACGATATACAGTTGCATACAATTATTTTGTAAACAATTTGTTGGGTATGCACATGTACTTAACATCCATGCGTGCATAAAAATCAAGAAACAACTTCAATTACTGGTATACACATTTGTTAACAGGGTGTTCCTTAATTTTTCAATTTTTTTACTGATTTTCATGAACTTCCTCCTATATATATATATATGGGTCTTCTTTTGTAAACTTTTTAATTTTTGAGATACAAAAAATCCAATTTAGAATACAAAAAATTAGTTGTAAATAAAATCATATATACATTAAAAATCTCTTCTCTCTCCTCTATCATCCCTCCTATTTTTTCTCTTATTTCTTCTCTCTCTTATTTTCTCCTTCATCTTCCCATAATATATATGTAGATGCATAATTGAATATACATGAGTTGAACATATTGTGAACATTTTTGAAAAATGCTATTATAGTTTATGAATGCATTATGGACACTATAATTTTAAGTGATCTAGTATAGCTTGTGAACATTAACTAAATCTAAAATACCAGTTATGAACACATTATGAACATCCTGCTAAAAAATTCTTAAGGTTGTTTACATGTTTACAATTGTTCACCTAGTATTTTTTTTTTTTTTTTTATTGTGTGTGCATGTTACAAAGAGAGAGGAGAGAGGAAAAAAAGGTATGCATTGAATTTCCTGAAAAATGCATAAATTTTTATTTAACAAAATAATGATAATTATCTTATTAGTTAATAACATTAATGGCGTATTTAGAAACAACTTAATGAGCTCAATACACGCTTGAGCTTATTCGGTTAGTCATATTGTGATGTTTGGAAGCGACTTAATGATTCAGTGATGAGCTTATCGAATAAGTTTTTAGGAGAACACCCCTTATTCATACGGACATCACGTTTCCACTCCTACCCCTGTGAACATCACACCTAACCACTGTATCCTTCTCGTTGCCTCCTCGTCGCCTTCCTGCACCTCTCAATCAAAAAACCCAACCCTCATCTCTGTTGTTGGCATCGTCCTGGGTTAAACAAATCTTTGTTCAGCCAACCCCTCGATCCTCCACGTCCCTGTGATATTGATTTTGTATTTGGATTCTGATCAAGATTTTTAATCATAATTTTGTGTTTCTATTTGATTTAAGGATTCATTTTCTTTATGTTATCGAGATTTTTTTAATGAATTTGTGTTTAGATTTTGATGTTTGGAGATCATTTCATTAATCTTTAATAAATTATGTTTTGGTTTTTTAACCTGTAATGGAATGTTGTTTGGAGATCAATAAAAAAACAAATAGAAGGGTAAAATGGTCATTTTTGTCGTTTAGTCAGTTATTCAGTAGAACAAATAAGCAACAGTTTTATTAATACATACAAACAGCTTTATTTATAAAGCCAACTTTATTCATATAGGACTCAATGAAAAAACAATCAAGTTGCCCCTGATTATGTTCAATTAGTGGTTTACATTGATGCCACAGTCTCACAAATCTCACAAATTCGGAGTTATCAAATGATTATATATATGACCTTTTTTTGCGAACTCTCTAATTTGTGACATCCAAACCACATATCTGGAACATGAAAAGCCATGGTGAACACTTTGTAAATATCATGGTGTATACCCTAACCACAGATCTACAACAAGAAACAACCATCTATGTTGTAAACAAGAAAAAGATATCATGGTCAACACCCGCACCACAATAGGGACGATGCGTAGACAAGATTCATGGTGAATGCATTAATATAGTGAACACCAAGACTACAACATAAGGTCGATACACGTACAATTTGTTGTGAACATTGCGAACACGTTGTGAACACCATGGTATTTACCGACAGATCACCTACAAAATACCAATAGTTCTGTAGAATCTGAAGTTTTTCGTTAAAATACCAATGGATCACCCAAAGAATTCATGGGTAATATGTCACTAATTTGAATTACCCACCAATTTTTGTGACGAATCACCCTTTAGCGTTAGATTTTTCAGGGGAACGTCTGTAAGCAAAAGTATTTCATTTAGTAGTGGATTGCACGTGATACGAGCATTTAATCTTATAGGATTAACCACATACATAAAAGACGTGGGTGATTTGATGAATGTAACCAAAGGTTGCAAGAGCTCGTTATGTATCAGTCAATGCAACATGTGTTTAATCATATTGCGGACATGGTATTGCTCATTATAGCAATTTATTTCTTAAATTATCTCATTATAACATCGTCAGTTTTCTACCAAATGGTCTTTGGCCTAGCAGTATATTAGTTTTTGTCTCCTAAAAAGTAAAGAGTTCAAACCTCATCAAAGATAAGGAAGGTGTGTGACTTTATTTGTTTTATTTGTCATATATAAATATTATATATACTTGAAAACTTTTAAAGTGAATATATGAATTTGTAATTTACTCTGGTACGTTTCGTTTATGAGAAAAAATAACATACTATATTACTTTAATAACTATATTAAATTAATAAGAAATTTTAT